AAACTTCTGGGCATTATTATGCACGTGGTTGTAAAAGCACACCTTTATTTTGACGCCAATCACTACACACACACACACACACACGAGCATTATCACCCGCTGCAAGCACAGAGTAACACGTGACGATGCCACTGACTCCCACACCATTAGATTGCTGAAAGTAGTAGAAGTAGAAGTGTGCCTGTAAAACCACGCGCAGGCGTCGGCCCAGGAGTTGGGCTACTTCGCCATGTCGACATCGTAGTTCACGTTCTCGTGAACATGGCCCGCTCTGCGATCCGACGCCTTTGTCACCTCACACTGACTTCCATCTTCCCACCGTCTACCCTTCGACACTTCACCACAACAACCTCTTTTCGCATACTCAAGGATGCGACTCAACCAGTTGGTTGTTGTCATCGTCGTCGTCGATCCAAGACCAGTACATGTTGTCTTTAATTATATCAGCTTTTCTAATGGCTAAGACTTCAAACTGGTGCAGCTTCAAGCAGAAATCACAGCATTTGTTGAACTAGCGTGATGGTGATGGGCTGACCATATTTTACTCTACGTGGTGGTGATTGATGCTGCTTCCTGTTTCTCTGGAGGCTAGATCAAGTGCAGCCGATTTGCATCGACTCACGGCAGTGTCATACCTATGTGTAAGTCAAAACGGATCTGCAGACGCAGTTGCATTGAATTTGTCACTCAATCGCACACGCACCTCCTGCCGCATCACTTGTTGTTTAGGTACTTGCTACTGACATGGAATGAGTAGCATCAAGAATGGATTAAAATAATCAGAACAGTAGGGAATGTCATTATAAGGTGTGGTTATATAAAGGTCAAATATGCAGGGGAATGTGGTACTTGTTGCACACAAAGTCATAAATTTTTAAAGCAAATCAAGCTTTTCTTTAAATCAGTTCGCCTAAGCTGGTCATGGTTTCAATAATTTTTTACAGTGACTTCATATACTACAGCACTCGTTTCTAATTCATGCCACGTACAGCTGTGAAGTGACGATGAGACTGAATGCGTTGCTGCCTCGTGGCTATTGTAACTCCTGGGTGATAGCCATTCAGTAGAGACTATTCACATTGGTGTTCCACGTTGATCAAGCCAAAGAAAGGGAGTGAGTGATCAAAGTAGGAGCAAACCGGCTATACATTTTTCTTAGGTGTGTTTGTGCAAAAAGGAGCTGCCTATTCCTGCATCCACCTAATTTAGTACTTTGAGCTGCAGCGAGCATGCTAGCATTGTAATACCTCCTCGTCGACGTTAATTTAGCCACCTGAACGAATTGTTAATGGGCGACAAACTCAATGAGGTGCTGAGATGTTGAAAGTTTGCCTAGTCCTTCCCTTAGTCGAAGTGCATACTTTGAGTTATTGTGAAATGCTGTTTCTGTGTTTGATGAGGAAACATCGGTTAGAAATCTTCTTTTTTGAACCCTGAACATCTTACACAGTGGAATGCTAGCTGATGCATAAGCAGTAGCTGCGTAAATAAATGGGTACCACGAAAGCTTAAATCCCAGTTATTTTATGAAACGTGTGGCATTCTCACATAAAGTGGTCCCAAATTAATCACTGCATTCCCCTTGCCTCCACTTGGTCGAAATGCACTCCCACATACGGTTATCACCGAGGCAGTAAATGCATTCCGTGACCTTTATTGTCGACATGCTGTTGCACATGTGCGTTCCAATGTTTGACTTCTAGTCCAGCAGATGTAGAGAAGTTCGTTGACCTTCGCATCCAAGTGGGTACTACTGAAATCACGAGGGGAAGGGAGGTGGAGGAGGAGAGGGAATGAATGAACCAGGTGCTGGCATTGTAAAAGAGGGTTACTGTCGTGTAATTTAGACAACATCGAATAAGTTCGCATTAAACGAGGAAATAACATTAGCTGAAATGCACTGTGTGGATTTGAGAGCTATCGGCGGAGTCATTTTCGAGAATTCAATCTCAATGCCACTTAAGTGTGCAAAGGAGATATAAGAGGATAAAAGCAGGAAACACGCATCCGAGGCCTGCTCTGTGTCGCATAATTTGTGAAAGATAAATAAGCGCACAATATCTTGTATAAATTGCACTCGCAATTTGACAATCAGCTGTCAGTCACAGGTTGGTGATTTTTAAATGGCGAAGCAATCGATGCACACCAAGTCCGCGACTCGGTCACAAACTCGCGCTCACACTTGAAATGCTGAAGGACGTCGTCGACTATCCTGCACTTTTTCTGTTAGCCTACGTAGTACTCATTTTGTTTATTCAGTTACGTGGATTTGACCTCCGCGTGTGTTGTGTCATCTGGACGGTGACAGATATTGCATCTGCTTTGATGAAGGGTAGGTGCTCTTATTCAGGCTGAAGGAATGCATTTCTAACATCGATAATGTGTAGGTTGCCAAAGTAGAAGCTGTTAGAAGGTAGTTCAGACCGATGATTATGTGGAAGAAGAAGAAGAGGAGGACTCTGCGGAAACATCTGATGCAAAGTTTATCAGATTGCAGCGAATACTCAATTTCTTCGCGCATAGAAGTCGTTCATTGTGGACGTTACGGTCACAAATCTTAGTAGGGGATGGATGCGGGTGGGAAGGTGGGGGCTTGAATAAGGCAAGGAAGAGTGAGGCCGACAAGAGGAAGAGGGGTAGTAAGGCAAAGTGCTGTTTGATGAAGGAGGAGATTGGCAGAATGGGGAAAGAGGTGGAGAAGGAGGAGGTGTCCGAGGAGAATTGCGAGGATGGGAATGTGACGAAATCCCGTGGAAGGAGTCGTGGGAGATGGAGACGATTGAGGGCCCGAGTAGCTGCACTCGGAGCAAATCTACGTAGACACCGACACCAACATCGACATTGAATGAATGGGCCATGAGACACCGAATGGAGGGATTGCTGGTCGCCAACGTCACGACATGCATGGTTGGTAAGGCTGTCTTTCTGGCTAATGTAACGCCTTGATAATTGAGTTATAAGTGACATGTCAGTTGAGTGACATGTAATCGGCGTCACTTTGTGGTACCTGCTCACACATGCAGCGCTGTGTGAAAGGGATGGAATTGAGGAGGTGGGTGAGGAGTGGACAGGATATGCACGGTGTGGGGAAGGCGAGTACTTTCTCTGCATTTGTTCACGACGAAAGATTCGCAGGTCATTTGGTTGAGTGTGAAGCTCGAATTGCTCTGACTGATTGCAAACGCACTACTCGGCATGCAAGGAATGTGAGACTGCCTCCATTGCATGGCAAGGAATTGTCATGTAAATGAATAGAGGAGTAGATTTCCATGCATCTAGGTGATAGGTGGCAGAACACTTGACACACTTGTGCGGATTGCGTAGGAGATAAGGCCTAATTCCCATCGACACTTTGATTGCCTATACTTTCACAATGTGCTAGAAACACTTTCCACTGCTTCGAGAGGAGGATCGTGTTGACTCGCATATGCTCATTCACGTTCGCCTTCACCATCATCCCATCTCTTCTCTTCTTCCTTTCTTTCCTTCAATTAGTGTGCGACTGAAAACCGCTGGTGCACTCGGCAGCCATGATGGCAGTAAAGAGGGACACCGCGATGTCGCTTCCACCACCGGATTCGTCTGCCTATGTGACCAGTGTTCCTGTCATTGCTGCGGTCAATGAGAATTTGATCCACGGAGAGAAGGCACCAAAGCGAGGGCACCTGGAGGCTTGGCTGGAAGTGCACGCAGATGACACGTTGTATTGCGTGGAGTCGGAGG